TATGCGAGGCATAGAAAATGTTAGGATAGTGTGGAATGCTCTTAGAATTAACAAGGTAAAAACTAATAACTTAAATCTCATGGACCTCAGTGACTAGTGGTAAGGTTGTGCATTTGAATTTTCTATTATGTTTTTGCTATTGAACCCTTAAGAATACCATGAAGATTGTGTTTGTACTCGTGTGATGTTCAGCAAATCATACCACCACCTCCATATTAATACCGTAACTCAATCGGTTTCTGTTGCTTTCTAAACGGCAGTCCAACCCCAATGAATCACAGGAACCAGCTGGAGAAGAAGGTGATCTGTAGGCTAAGGTTGTCCCAAGGTCTTGTTGCATGGATGGAAATGCTACCAGCTTCATTTTTTCTTTGCATCCTCATCAGAAGATTATATTTTAATGAAAAATATCTGGCTCATAAATCCTGGAAAAGTAATGTCATAGCACAGTTAAGTCACTGAGACAAATTTGACAACATTAACAACAAACTTTTATGTTATTCTGTATTAGATCACGTTTAGATAACGCATTGATACTCTTACTTTGTTTTATGATTTATTTTTGTTATTAGAGGACTTGTCATTGCTTACAGTATTCATAGAATAGTGTAGCAGACAATATCTGATAACTTACAAAAGGGTAATTTTGTTTGGACACATGATATAGCCTTTCAATGCCATTTTCTATTGAAACATTGAATTTGAAAGTTCTATGCATGTGTAAGGACCATGAATTATATAAAAGAATATACAGTATGTAAATATTAATTTAGAATGAAACTGATAAGCTTTTGAAATGGTTACCTTTATTTTTTCTTGTATTGAAAGATAATTTTAACACTGAAATTAATAATTTGTTTACTTTTAACTGTTGCTGACTCATGGCTCATAGAATATCAGTAATTCTGGTCAAGCTACATTGATGAGGCTGATCCTTCTTACCATGAGATTTAGGTATCTGAAACCTCTTTATGGAAAGTGATAAGATATCAGAGAAGGGGCTAAAGTTATACAAAAAATGTTTGCTAGTATATCAAATATTCTTCTGATGTGCTTCGAGTATGCATGATTGATTCTTTTATATACTGGTATATTGCTTTCTGTTTTCTGCATTATGCTACTTGTTTTGTAATTTGTCTTTCCATTTCCCTAAGTTTAAGAATGTGTGTAATAATTTCCAAGCTATGTCTTTAACATTTGTTGTCCCATACAAATACTAAACAGAATGTTAACACTGGAAGGCTTCAAAGAATATTTTAAGTGTACGTAGTAAGAATTATTTCATTGTTTTACAAAACTACAGATAAGACATCTGAAGGCAGGAAATTAGGAAGTGGTGCTGACTTTTTTTCGTGTGTGTGTGCGCGCGTGTGGCCGCGTGCGCTCTTGCTTTTTCAAACTACTGTATTCTCTAAATCAATATGAAATTTTTCAGGGATGAAGAGCTTTGGTATTTAGATTCTGCACATCATGTGAATAGCCAATTTTAATATATATTTAAATATTTTCAGATTCAGAATGTACATTAGTCTAAACCCAAAATGCTCTTAAGTGCTACATAACCATATGCTCATTTTGTTTTTGAAATTATCTTTTGTGCTGTATTATGGTAACATCTAATTGCACTTTTAATGTTATATCTTAGAGCATTTGGCTGTGGTTTATGATATATTTTCAAATTATGATTTGAGAAGTATAAGACTGTGTTAAGGAATGTGTCACCATAGGTTTTATTAACTTTGTTATATTGGTGGCTCTTTATTTGGTCATATTCAGTGTGGGCCCTTTTCTCACTTCTGTCAGACTTTTTAAATATTGGACTTACAACCAGAATTCTTTATTGCATGTATTGAATTTATGTCTATTTTACTGCTTTTCTACTCATAAGTCTTGGATATTGCACAAGCTGGGATAATCCTTTATTGTAAACTCTTTCCTGTACTTTTATTCTTCAGCAAAAATCAGATGTCAGAAGAGGTCCTATGTTACAAGTAATGGGGAGCCAAACTGTAAAAAGAATTAAGATCTATTAGCCCAGAGGTGGAACATTAGTCAGTATAACAAACTTCAAATGGGGGAAATTAAACTTTAATCAATTTTATAGGTGTTGGAAGTTGTGCCCTCCTTCACTATACCAACCCACTACCAATTCATTGTTTACTCATGTTTATTTTGGATGAAGGCTTTGGAACTCTGTGTCCAGATCTTCACCAGCTTGTACGGAAATAATCGGTACTGAGGCAGTTTGGCTGGTGCTGCCACTATTGTACTTTCGGGTCTGTAATCATGTAGTATTCAATATCTTGATCTGCCCTGAGCTTGTCCAGTTATCTCTTGATGGTTAGCTCTGGAAATTGGCTGCTGCTCCACCAGAGAGAAAAACCTACATTCAGAATTTTCCTATCTTTTTTCTTGTTCTTGTTGGCCTTGTACAGTCCCCCCAAAAAGTATTGAAGCTTTTTGGTCAATGTTACTCAACCCATTTCTGAGCAGTTGGTAGTTCTACATCTGCGATCTTTGAGTATGAATGTATGTATACATTTTCAAATGCTGTGAATCATCCGAGGCTTCAGATCATATATTACATGACTCGGAGTGAATATCGTAAATGGATACTAACTCCAAGCCAGTCATCAACGGGATCTTACATCGAATGGAGCGAGGAATTATCGGGGAGAAAAGCAAGATGTGAGAGGTGCTATCATTGCCCTTCACAACGAGGATATACGTAATGCTGAAATAGCAAGTCAAATTGGGGTGACGAAACCCACAGTATCACAATGGGTTAGGTGCCGTGAAACAACTGGTGCTACACTAAAACATACGACCACAATAGCTTCCTATAAGTGGACGGGGAGCTCTGTTGCCTGCAAGTCCCTTGATTTAAAATCTTATTTCAATGTTAAACCAATGCAATTTACATATCAATAACATGGCAGAGCCCATGTAGACCAATATATTGCATATTGCTGTACCTGTTTACTCTAACATCAAATACAGTACTATTTACTTAGTTACTATTCATAAATCAGACAAATCATAAACAACGTGAATAGGTATATTGTGAAACTCAGTATGATGAAACATCGTTAGTACAATGAAGTAACGGTGAAATGTCTATTTTGAGGTCTTGGTCTCAGTTATGATGTTAAGAAACATTTCCATTTAATTTGTGTTTTAGTGTTATTGTAATCATCAATCAGTGGTTTGTGTACATATGCCTTGTTTTTACCCATCATGATACATACATTAATATAGCTAAAAGGATTTCTTGTGATACTGAAGTACAGTATCTAGTATGCCATATGAGGATGACCCCCTTCCCAATTCCATCCCATCTCTAGCTATTGCTGATATGGCAAGCAGGCATACCAACTTATGATGATGCACTATGGCTCATATCAAAGCATTTCATATTGCATTTCAAATTGTTGCGACAGGAAATTTAACAATACCTGTACTGTACTTTTTGGGGGGAATGTACTTATGAATGAAGATGTTTGGCTGCCATTCTCCATCTTATTTTGCTGCTGTTCTTCACTATTGTTTTCTTGGTCATATATTTCTTATTTTTTACATGAAGAGTAACGAACTTTGGTCACTGGTACAGCTTGGCACTTGAGTATCTTCCTTACCACAACCAACTTGCTATAACCTACTCTTTTTGGTTGGCTTAATTGGATTATTTAAAGAAACTCAAAAAGAATAAACCTTTTGTCGAGTAAAATGAATATCTAGTTACCCGGTAATGTGTATAGAAATGAGGAAGTCAATTGGGGGGGGGGCAATTATCTTAATTTTGTACAGGTCTTATTTTTCAATGGTGTATTGTACTTTAACACTGTACATTACATCACTAGGTAAATAAACCTTTTATACCTTGGTGACATTTGGGGGATTCCAGTCCCAAACACTTTCTTTGGTATTTAATTAAATGTATTTTTATTTATTTATTTTTTCCTCAAATGTTTGTGGTTTCTGTTTTGTTTAATAACCTGAGGCTACTAAATTTGCAGTACAATATATTATATCTGTTTTAGATATTTACACAGTAATAGAATTTTATAGTGTACTGTGCAGCAACAAAATAAGTGTTATAGAGTTGGTACTGTACTATATTTACCTGAGGTATTTTATATAATAACTGTTTCAGTGATTATGAGAAATTTATTGGTGGATTGTTTGTGTTATTGTGGGGCCATGATCAGTGTGACTTCATTTGTGGAAGATTCAAGGTTTTTTATTATACATTTGTATGATGTAATTTACTGCTACTGTTGTGCTTATATTTTCTAACAATTAACTATTTTAATTTATTTAATGGAGCTTTCACTAACTTTTATTTTATACAAGGGAAGACTAGCACCCCTCCCCCTTTTATATATTTTTTGATTGATCAGAATTGTGTCTTTTTTCTCAGATTGAGACACCCTAATGTTCCTTATTTTCTTCCCTCCGATAGTACTCTTATAAATGCATAGCTTGTTTATGGTTGTTAGATTAGAAGTTTTTGTTTTAATTAGCATGTAGTACTGATGTAGACTATCATAATGCTGGCGTACTAGTATACTGTACTGCTTCCCAGTGTGAATGTATTAATGCATCAGCTGAACATTCATTTGGTTACAACAACTTAAATAATGCTTATTATACTATATTTTAAAATAATGGTGTTGGAATTTATAATTTTTCTAATATCCTGAATTCACACAATGCAGTGTGTCAACGATGTATTTATGCCAGTGCATAAAATGATCACACAAGTATCATGTGACTTCTTGACCATACTACAGTATTGTATATGTATGTTATTTTTTAAATGTGCATCATTTCTTAATTTTCATAATGCAGACCTGTTGATAGTATGCCACTTTTCTGTGCAAAAGTACTGTATTGTTATATATCTGTTTTGTTTTGTTTTTGTTTTTTTAACAAAATAATATACTTTATATACAGTATTACAAATGCTATTATTTCTAATGTATTGTTTATGTTGGCAGCTTCGTAGAGCATACACTGCCCAGTGTGAAGAACTCAAGCTTCTTAGACGTCAACTTATCATCAAAGATCGACGAATTCATGAGCTGGAAGACCAACTTAACCAACTTAAAGTCAATCACAAATAGTTCTTGTTCAACTAGGAAATTTTGTTTAGCTCAAAGATCATTACAATATCTACATACACTATTAAGAGCTTGATTATTGATGTAGTAGTGGGTGCTTAGCAGTAGGTGTTACTTTTCATGAAAATTTTAATAATTCTTATATCATGCCATGGACATTCATAACGGTAGAACATGTTTGATTGTCCTTCTAAGATTTTATGATACAAAATGTGAGTCTATTTTCTTTAATTGTGAGACATGTAAACTCTAGAAACACTTAGATATAGCTATGGAGGAAGGTAAGAAACCCCAATCAAAGGAAATTTTTTTAATTGGTAATTTTAGAATACATAGGTCACTGGTGTTATGAGTGTTTTTTTGTGTGTTTTTTTAAGCATATGTGAGATGTTACTTAGTGACGTGGAGTGGGGTCGAGTGAGGTACAGTACAATGAAATTATGATTTATGGTAATGAAGAGGGGAAAAAGATAAATTTTTCATGCAAGACTATGATAAGACAAGACAAGGTGTTTGTACCAGCATAAAAGCCAGTGTGTGTGCAATATGCAAAGTTGTGATAGGATAATTAGAACAATTGTTAGTTAAATAAAACTGCCTTCACTTCTCTCAAGGTACTCATGGAATGTAAAAATTCAGTATGAATTAAATCCCAGTTTGAGGGTATTTGTCCAGTTTGTTGTGGTGTCAATTTTAGCATTCCACTGTGATTGAACTTAATACATCTTCCTTATTCTTGACTGCCTTGCTGCTGCATTTTCGTATATGCCTTGCACTTATGCACTTAAAAATGGAATTCATTTGTGCTTGATGGCCTGTGTGCCTCTGCTACTCTGTCAGGTATCATGAAAAAAATCATAATTTTTTACTCGATTATTGGATCAATGAAAAGTGTACATTTCTAACTTTGTGGTACAATACATGCCACAACTTATAATAAGTACTGTAGAGTTAATGATGAGATTTTTTCATGATTCCTCGGTTAACAGTCAACAGTAGATAGTTCAAGAAAATGGAGAAGGTTGCCTGTCTAGGAAATCCTTATACCTGTAGTAGGTGAAATAAAATTGAGCCCTTTGTAGGAGATCCTTATAGGTGATATAATTTTATCAATAGACTTTCGATATTTCAATGCAAATTTCATTGAGTGAAATTTCTGTTAATAAATAGGGGTAAACATTTAGTATAATGTATACATCAGCTTAGTGCAGTTAATTTTTGTAAGGATGATCTTTATTTTTCATAGAAATATTGCCTTTGAAAAGTGAAAGGATCACCTTTTTCCTTGTAGATGGTTGATTTTGGGCCATTACAAAGGCTGCTCCATTCTGGTGTCTGCCACACTTTCTCAAAGGTATAGCACTGCACAGTGTCAGTAGTTATTTTTCCATTATTTCCACCTTGCCTTTAGACTATCTTTAATTTCCTTCATATACTTGTACTTGATGAAAGTTATACAGGGTATGTATATTCATAATTGTTTCTGGATGTGGTTGATAACCAATTCAGCATATAGAAGTCATTTGCAAATGTATTGAATAGAATTTTTGGGCTAACAACCTAACACAATTAGAAAAATTAGGATTGGTTTCTGTAATGTGTAGGCATGCATCTATATGTGCCACTATGGTTCAAAGACTCAAAATAGATATATGAATTTGATAAATCAAGCATTTAATATTGGTATTCATTTTTAAGGATTCTTTGTATTCTTTCTTGTAAGGGTCTCTAAGATAGGCTAGTTTTGAGGAAGTAGGACACAGACTGTTTGTGCATAATGTGCTATGCTTTAGCCACTGCTGCTATCATTAGTGACAGTGCTGGGGAGCATGTAATGAATGAGTAGATAGATTAAGTCCTATAGGTCATGCAACCCAATATTACAATAGCAGGGACTTTTTGGGTACTGACCTGGGTTTCAGTAAAAGTGATATTCATATCTGTGAACTTGATAAGCTTTTCTGAATCTTTCAAATTCTTGTTATCATTGGTTATATTGCAAATTGTGATAATACTAACTGAAGAGCTTATGAAATTTTTATTAATAATGTTTTCTGGACCAAGAATTTTTTACAGATTGTCAATTCCACTAAGCTTTTTTTTTTTGTATTTATTTATTTATTTTATTTTATTTTATTTTATTTATTATTTATTTTTTTTACATTGTAGTAGTGCCAGTGACTATCTAAATATGTTCTATTTTCACTGCCAAAAATTTGATGTTGTCTTTATGTGATAGGAATCGTCACCAAAGAGGTAATGCTGATTTTCTTACTAATCTTGTGTTTTGTGTAATAGGAAAAGAAAACTAACACTGCCATGATGCATTCCATAGGCTTTATTTTTTGTTATAGAAAACGAAAATAAGCCTCATTAGAATGCTGCATAGCGGTGAATAGGCCTGATAATGTCATATGTGCCCCAATATATAGCAGATAAACAGGCAACTATTATTTGTAGTATCCCTTGTGTGGTATATTTTGCCAGTATATTGTTAGTAAATATCATTAACCTTACTTAAGAAATATGTAGAAAGGCATTTTTTTATTTTTTTATACGTGTATCTCCCTAAATTATAATTTCTTTTAGTTTTTATTTTATTTCATGATCATATGTAGATATCATCATATCTTATTCTGACACAGAGAGTTGTGGGGTTCCCTTGGAGCTCTGATGCTTGTGGGATGTGTTTTCTTGGTATTCTTGGTAGTATTTTTATTTTACAATCTTAGGTTTTTATTTTTGTGAAACCTTTGCAAGTTTTGTCAATTCTTTTCTTTGAGGATACTTGATGTTCCTCAAGGGAATATCCAAGGTAGGCAAGGGTTTCCTCTTTTTTTTTTTCTAAAATTTTTGTGATCCTTAGATACCACTTAATCATAAGTGAAATTACTTTGGGATGTGATAACTTCTGTAACTGGTATCAAGAATATAAATCACAGAATTTATAATTTATTTGGTCCTAGATTGTTCTCCAAGTTCTCAGAAGTTAGCACATCAGATATGTCCCCCAATAATGTGGTTACAGTGTTCTGACAATAAGGTGTTAATTCCTTATCCCTTGATGTAGAACCCTGACTAAATGCTTCTATCACCTTTTGAAAATACAGTAAACAGTTTTAATTCTTGTTTATTCATCAATGTGTTAGTATGTCAAGTTGCACCACTTCTTAAAATGTTTATTATAAATGAAATTAAAGCATAGACATCAGTTACTTGGTTAAGCTTCAAGTTTCTTTGCAACTCTGGTATTTGTTCTTGTCATATGTCTCTTGTTAAGAATGGTATAAGTGTCGGGTTTAGCACTGAAACTATTTAATCTTGAAAATACTGCAGATAAATGTTTGGCAGCTACAGAATTGTTCTCTGTATAATGCTTTGGGGGGGGGGGGCAATAATTATCAAACACTGCACTGGTTATAGATCATAATATATTACATATAAGATAATAAACTTAAGCCTTTCATGCAAGATCTTTGCCTTAATTATTGGCGACTGACCCACCGCCAATTTTTCATAGAAAACATTTTTAAAAATGCCTTAATTTCACCGTGTTTCATAGTAGACACCGTCATAGTTTTGGCAAATGTGTTAAAAAGTGGTTATTTCTAAATTAAACCTAACTTAACCTTAGTTGATAAGAAAACAAGTGCTGGAAGCATTGTTAGAGGACCTCACCAAAGAAACTTACCTAACCTCTTAGCCATAGAGCTCCGCTCCCCAAATCCCCTGTCATATTTAACAGAAAGAACTTACGATGAGTTGGTGTAATTTTAAGTTTTTTTTTTCTGTGGACGTGAGAGCAGCCCCCCTGACCCCCCAGCATATTAAACGGAAAGAACTTGCTATGATATGGTGTAAATTAAAAAATTTTGTGGACGTGAGAGCAGCCACCCAAACCGTGTGACTCATAACTGTACACTGGCATCGATCGGAGCTGTCAAAGTTATTAGTGAAAATGCTCCTTCTCGGCCACATTACCGCTGAGAAAGATATAGAACATGCCTAGTAACCTAATTATCTACCAAATGAAGCAGTTAAAAAAAAATGATTATCATATCAGAAATCACTGATGAAAATATAATAAGAATATAAATATCAAAACAAATAATGTATCAGCTTGTTATTCATCAATATTAGCCACATTTTTTATCACAGAACTGCCAGCAGTGAATGCCCAGTGCTGAAAGGTGCTGGGATATATAGTATTTTTATTTTCATATTTGTTAAGGTGTTTATGTTTTCCTGGGTAAATATTTTTTGCCCAATGTAATTAGAAAAATATGTGATATGTATAAGGATACTAACTGTCAAATTCAGTTATGATAAAAGTAATTGTGTCTGTAAAAGCAAATTTTGCAAGAATTTTTTAGTTGTTCTGAGCAGAAATAATTATTCTGTTGATTTATAGAAGGGGAACTTAAATGTTGTCAGGGCCATGTCTTAAAATGATGAATGGAAATCTTAACATGCTTAATATGTTAAGCTGTTTTATGGTATATAATTTTAATTGATCTTTAATCATAGGTTCTTCAGGAATGGTTGAAGGGTTAAAGAAAATATCCTGCTGTTTAAATAGAAGAAGAAATATGGTCCAGCCAGACTGAGGACAGCTGTATGGTTTATAACCTTCATGATAGTATTATAAGTTGAGGTAAGGTTTTGTAACATTGTCCTCCTTATGTGCAACAGAAATAAATGGTTGTAATGCACTTTGTTTTACTTGTTACATTGCATTTAAAGATGAAAAATGTGTCGTAGCTTTCATATTACATTACTGTATCAAAAAGCTCGGGTAAACAAGCAACTAAAATGTTCATCGGTTGTCTTTAAGAGTTAAACTTAATGAGAAAATGTTAAGTACTGTAATTTGGTGTGAACTTGCCTCATGGTAACAGTTAGCCAGAATAATTGGTGCAGAGCTCTTCGAAGGATTTAACATGAAGTTTAGATACACAGATTATTTCACCTGATGTTTAGACACCCCAGCCTATTTCACTTTAATTAATTAGCAAGGAGGTATACAGTAGGTTCTGCAGTCTTCCTCAGTGCAAAGTGATAAGAAATATTTCTTTAAGATTGATTAGTTTTCTTCATTATCAGTAAGTTGGTGTGATTCTGGGTGAAATGGCTCGGTAGGTTCCGAGGCGTTTGTTTTATTCTTTTGAGGTAACACTACAGTTATGTTTTTCTTTTAATTTCTCTCTTTGTAGTATTCTTTATGGAGTGCCTGTGTAGCCCACTGTGACATACCACTTAGATGGTCATCTGTTAAATAGCATAAAACATTTATGTTAGATTAGGTCAGGTTATGTTGAATAACATAAAACAGACAAGTGTATAAGTAGAATGTAATCAGCCAAATACCCTGGCATTTTATTTAATGGGATTTTTTGGACTTCATGTGCTGCACTAAAAAACATAATTTTTTTTTAGCAAAATAGTTATTGTCCATTAAACTTTCAATGTTCTACATTGAAATTTTACAATGTGGTGAAAGAGTGTTAAAAAAAAAAAACCTACCCAACCTTGACTAACCAATCAAAATTTTAAAAATTGCTTTTGAGTTCATGGATCTCCCCTTTCCTCATCTGAACACCAATACATACTAAACACCAAAAACACGAATAAGGTAAGCGTTAGGATTTTTATAGGTTATGTAAAGTTTTCAAAGGTTTGTTTGGTGTTATTTACTTCATCAATCGTATGGATCTGCAACGAAAAACAGACAAAGAAATTTAGGCTAAAAATGGTAAAATTTGAATGTAGAACATTGAATATCTAAAGGGCTATATTTTTTTTATATTCATATCTCAAGAAAAAATGGAATCGGCATAAAAATCTACATTAAAAATAATTTTTTCCTTTTTTGAGTGCAGTACATGAAACTGAAAAGATCCAATTAATGTAACAGCTTGCATACCTGGATACTCCAGCTAAATGTATAATACGTAGGTGGTGGCGGAGAGACTTTAGGTGAGAAAAGTTCCTTGAACAACTTGAGCAGGTAGGAGAACTCGTTGGACGGCGAGAGGCAGGTGATGGTGTCGGCGACTGCTGCACGTGTACTCTGGATCGTGTGTGCTGTAGGCTAATGGATGAGACAGAGGTTGCTTGGGTCGACGACGAGCTTGTGGAAGGTGACGAAGTCGAAGCCAAGGATGGGTTGAGAGATGTCTGCCACCATGAAGGACCAGCGCAAAGTCTAGGGAAGACCAAGGTCTAAGGCGAGGATGTGTGCGCCGTAGGAGGCGATGGGGGTACCGTTGGTGGCGAACAGATCATATGAGGGTTGCTTCGGTGAGGGAGGGATGATGCTGACCGATGCCCTTGTGTCAATGATAACAGTAGGCTCTCACCAATAACGTTTAATAGGTGCCTGAAAAACACCGTTATTAGCGAAAACGTTATTTGTGTGACATTAAAATACATATAAAAAGGGTCTATTGGTGCCGCCTCCACAAGAACTTCAACCATTTTTTCCCCTTGAAGCCCTCCTTACACTTTTTGTTCGCTGAAATAAAAAGAATTGCTATTCAATCATCAAAATAAAGAGTTTGAGTAATATAACACTTAGCTTGGGGGAGTTTTTGAGGTGCTTGGTGTAATGATTGTTCTGTATCTGAGGGCCGCTAACACTTGCACTGTCTTTCATTCTACAAGCTAACCATTTCACAAGAATTTGCTCTGTTATCACTAACAACCTGTTTCTATTGTCTTTATCATTCATAGCTCGCCTCACATTTCCATCACTACCGAAATATTTTTAGCCAGCACAATACTCTTCTTGGTCTCCGTTAAGTTCCTCTTAATATTTCGCACTGTAGACTCAGGACAGTTCAATTTCCTCACTTTAAAAGTTCCCAGTCATTCAGGTGGCAAATCACTCCCTCCACCACCTCCCCTAGCCCCCACAGGCAAAAATGCGGAAGCCATTATTGATCACTGACCCTAACAACCAATGGTTATAGAGGCGAAAATCTCACATGTGGGCGCAGCGTTGTATTCCACTGAGCGTGTGTGAGAGTGAGGTGGAGCAGACAACTACGTCATCAACATGGCGGCAAACAAGCGCTATCATTGATGCGCTCGGACGCTTCCCGCGAAATTTCCTTTATTCAAGAGAATCCAGACGTTATTATCGAAAATGGGTATCTATTGTAACTTACCGTTATTGTCGAAAACGTTATTGTGAAGCAGACGACATGTAAACCTCAAAGGGAACAAGAGGAGCTATTATTGCCCTTCATAACGAAGGGTTCGTCGTCACAGATTAGCCAGCGGGTTGGTGTCCACAGGAACACCGCTGCACGATGGATTCGGCGATACTTCGAAACTGGTGCTACAGACGACAGGTCTCGGAGCGGCCGTCCACGCTGCACCATCCTTCAGGATGACCAGGTTGAGTGGATTATTTGGTAGCATAAATTAATGTGGCAATATTCACAAGTATCACAAATAATTTTGTTAACAGGGAGCTCCTCATATTTCATACTGTCTATTTATCACTTCCCGACCTTATTCTAACGGTTTGTTTCACTTGACCAGGGCTGCCAACATAAGGCTGGAACAACACGCCTTTCCCAATACCTATCGTCACTGGTCTCAAATTGTTCACACTACAGTATGCACCGATACTTTTTGTTGTGAGTGTACCTATTTGTTTTTTGTACACTTGTGATTTCATATATTTTTCACAAATATGCATTATTTAAATCAATGTCTTCTCATAAGTCTTTTATGGCATGCTTTTTCTTAACCCTGTTTTCCATGTTCATATATCTTTAGGCAGTCATAGGGTAATATTAGACATTACGTGGTTAAGTGTTGGGATTTCTATCATTTGGTTCTGAGTGACCACCATGCAGGTGAGGTCGTACTTGAAGTGGGACCTTTGGTAAACTTCTTTTGACCTTATGGATGCTTATTGACAAATTCCAGTTCATAAATATTCATGGATATTTCTTGCTCTCAATCAAGGTAACTCGATTTTGGGTTGAAAGTAATATACTGTAGTTACAAGGATCTTTACTGAGATTATGAGAGTTGTTTTATGATGGTTTTTGCTGCTCCTGAAGAGATTCTGGGTATCTTTTCTACAGATTCATCACCACCACCACCACCAAAGTTTTACAGCCATTTTCCACATTTGCATGGGTTAAGCATGATCACCTGGTGTCAGCTCTCCATGTTGTGCAGTCTCTCTCTCTCTCTTCAGGTTCTTATATTTGGGTTAATTTCCTACAGCCACTCCCATACCCCTAGCTTTCCTTTCTTCCGCATTCAAACTCATTCATCTCTTGCCCTAACCATCTCAACTTAACTCTATGCAAAACCTCACCAGTTCCCTATTTTTCAGTGTTACATTATACGACACCCCCTCTCACTATTCTCATTTCTGTTCACTTCAACCTACTTTTGTCATCCTCTTTAACTCCTAAAGTTACACTACAATACGACATCACACTTCTCATACTCATTGCATGCATCTTACCTTTCACGCGAAAAGAAGGTTCTCTTGCCCTCCATTTACGTGAAAGGGAAGATATATGTAACCGGCATGGGTAATTAATTAAGATGAGATATGTAGGCACCAACAAATTTTAATACAGTATGTACAACCAGCTAGAAATCTGAGGCGGTGATGAGTGTGTATACTGTATTTTGTAACTGAAGGGGGTCGTGATGAACACTCCCTCATTGGTACACCCATGCTTTTACCATACACTCCCTGACTTCTTTGATCTCATTCTTCATCTCTTCTCAATTACAGTACCCCTGTTCTTTTTGCATATTCAGGCCATCTCAGCACAGTGTGTACTTTTTCTTTTAAACTCTTTGCTTTTCCAGAACTTTTCCATTTTTTACTGTATTACCACATTCTATTTATAAAGAAATTATGTTATGTGTGGTATTAAGAATAACTGGTTTGTTTCAGGTATACATGTGCTACCATCAGTTGACTCCATGGAACTCTTGCCTCTGCCTCAAGTTGGGAACATGTGGCTCAGGCTGACATCAAGGAAGAGAACATAGAATGGGCTTGTATTATTGCCAAGAACCTCATTTCCTCTCCACAATGGTAGGTGACATGCCCACAAGGGTAGGTGACATGCACAGTTTTTCTGACAGAGCCTGAATATAAGTAATAAAAATTACAGTTATGGGTATAAAGTTTTGATTAATGAAAATTTGAATTTTTTTTTGTCCCATGATTTTATTTACAAATAAAAAACCTGAAGTGAAAAAATATTTCACCATTTTCTCAATACAGTGTACAGTACAAGCAATGACCATTATACAATGGGGGTAAGGATCTCATAAAACCATCTATAAGTGATTGATTGTACAGTAATGTATATCGGTATTAATAACTTGGGGAAAATAGGTTCCGTTCCTGAGCTTCTGAAAGGCCAAACAAGTTTTATGTCCTGCTGCCATAATGATTAAATAATGTCTAAACTCAAATAATTAATAAATAAATAAAAAAATTCAAAATATGTGCAAATCAGCTATTCACTTGTGCCCGGTAGTGCAGCGGTCATTACATCTTATTTTTCCCTCACCACCTACAACCAACCAGTACGGTACATGTTAATAATGTGTAGACCGATCTTGTTTATTCTGCTAGCCTGCAGGCCGCTATCCCAGTTTGAATGCATTCACATCCTGTAAACACCAGTTGGTGGTGATTATGGTGATTGTACGTAGTGGTGGTGAATGTTAATGGTGGTGGTGAGTGGTGGTGGTGGTGTGGATTGGTGATGATTGTTGTTGGTGGTGATGGTAAGTGTTGTTGGTGAACATTTTTTATTTACAGTACATTTTTTACTTCATACACAAATTTACGTATGAAAACCCTACAGCGATTACTTAGATCATATGCAATTTTGCATTTGAAAACCCCAAGAGCGTTAAAAAGCATTGTAAATAAAATACCACTGATACAAGACTTTGAGTTGAAACTTTGCTGCCAAACATTTGATGTTGTGATAGTAAGGTGGCAGTGACTGCCACTGACATACTGCCAGATATAAGTGAATTTGATAAGTCACTGAAATAACATGTAATTTTGGAAATTTTAACATTGTAATTGTTTTCAATTATGAATTTCTTAGTTTGAATCAATTTCACTGTAAAACTTATAAAGACATATTTGAGGTCCTCCATGACACAAGAAAGATAAAATTCTTGAGCAGTATTGTCAGTACTGTACAGTAAAATTCTCTTTTCAGTGTTGACCATTATACGATGTGGTTAGGAACTTCGAAAAGCCATCATAAGGTGATCAATCACATACAGTATGCCCCCCAAGTTTGCGGATTTTTACCTGTAGTATTGTATATGTGTGTGTAGACACACACACACAAAAAAACACATACAAATAAATAATACTTGGAAAATCCTCTCACAAATAATCAGAAACAAAATTATTAAAAATGTAAGTCTACCCTCAAGTCCGTGCTTTAATATTTTATTAAGAGAGTATGGACTTGAGGGTAGACTGTCACATTTTTAATAAATTTGTTTCTGATTATTTGTGAGAGGATTTTCCAAGTATTATTTATTTGTATGTGTTTTTTTGTGTGTGTCTACACACACAAACAGTCTACAATACTACAGGTAAAAGAACCACGAAGTTGGGGACCCCCTGTATCCTAAATTGTCTTCATTTTTTTTTACTCTTTTTACATGCCCACACAATCATTCATACAGGATGTGCCAAAATTTTTTGAATTATCATAAGGTCAAAAATATAAAGGATACAGTACAGTATACTGTACAGTATACATTTCTTACGTGTATAGGAGCTAACATGGAGAGCAGGGAAAGGGGGGGGGGGATCTTGGCTCGCTGTCTCATGTAACCGTGCGAAGTGTCATGGTCAGAGTTGGGCTGGCCATTGTGCCTTTATGCCATGACACTATCAGTACTAGTGGGGTGGAACGGAAGTCTTGTTTACACCTTCGTTTTTATATGCCAAATATACCTGTATGTGAATACAGTACTCCCTTATTTCTAAAGCTTGTTTCAATAGAGCATATTTTCAATAACAAAAAAAAGCATCTAAGAAAAATATTTGGTGGAAGATTCAAAATAAAAAAATAGAGGTGAACAGATTTTCTTTTTTAATAATGATTTGAGATAATATTACTACAAAAAATAGGATATTTTAGGAAGGAAAATATTGGTAGTGTATTGCAGGAAGTTTTTGTTGATTGTTGATTTGACTTGTATGCTGAGGCATAGGCACAGCAAAGGTGGCCTGAGGTGTGTGGAGAGTGCCAGAAATTACCTGACTGCTGACTGTAGGAACAGAGATGACTTGACTATTTGACTGAGCGACAGATATGACTTGCCCTGAAACTGGTGGAACAGATATTACTTGAGATGTTGGCTGTGGGACAGAGATAACTTGACTTGTTGGAGGTGGAACAGAAAACTCAGTATGCCCAGGAACAGTGACAGAGTCTTGAATCACAATCATCTGCTGTACTGGAATAATGGAAGATGTTAAAGTCTGTTGCATTAATGAATTTCCTTGGCAAAACTGTTGGTCATGGTCTGGTGTTTGCTCATGGTGGTGCTGCTCCTGATTTTGGTTCAGCTGATGGTGATGTGCATCCTGGTGAGCATGATGAAGCTCAGCTGTGATGCTGTCTGGGATAGATGATGCAGAAACAACAATACTCGACATTGAGCCAACAACCATCGTCTCTGTTGCCACCATGTCTGGACCCACTCCGCTTTGGAGGATCTCAGGTGTAAGAGTTGTGATGTGAGGTCCCTGTTGATAGGAAAACAGTTACAAAGTTGGAAACTTTTTTTTTTTTATTATTCATTACAAGGGTGAGATGTTGAATGAGATACCCAATTTGAACAGGCAGGTTATTTTGCATGAGACAGAATCAAACTCTATACAGTATTATGGAAAATTATAGTTATTAAGAATTTGCATAATAGAAATCCACATAAGAGGAGGGCTTAATATACATTAAGAAGTTGCCAGTTTTAGTTTTAGAAAAATAATGTACAGTAAATAAAGAACTGTTGTATGGGCAACACACATACACAAGAACTATATGGTACTGTACTTCCACCCAGCAATCTACTTACAGAATAGATTTCTGAAACAGGAAGCTGATGGACATCTATACTTGTTCGATCATTATTATTTGTGGTTGCCTCAGTCAATCTGGAGCTAATGCCTGATTCACTTTGTTCTTGAGGAATGTTAGCAGACTCTGCATCAGTAACTTGTTGTTCTAAAATGTTCTTATCAACTTTAGATGCCAAATATCCATGGCTGCTCATATGTCTTTTAACCTGTCAAAGAGAAGCAATACAGTCAAAATTACCTACAGTAACTCTGGCAAGCCAGTTTATGCCTTTTAGAAAAAAATTTAGATTATCTTCTGAGAAAATTTTTTTTTCTGGAATCTATTATTCTATGTAAGCCCACAAACAGGCTGCACTTAATAATGTCCACATTCCACCATCAAAATTTTTCCTCAACAACACCATTCTCCCCCACCACTAACACACTCACTCACAAATACTAATCTTCCTCCTCACAACTATCATCACCACATTTTCCTTTATCACCACCACAACTCTCCACTATCATCATTCTCACCTCCCCAGCACCAACACCACCACTCTTCCTTATAACCAACACCACCATACATCTTGCCAATATGAACTTGATTTAAGTGGGGCTTGGTTGGTCAGTGATTTATGCTGACTTTATTTACTGTGATGCAGTTGGGGCTTTTTAACCTTATTTTTGTAAGATTGCACACTTTGCTAAAAGTCAGTAATTTGCTTATTGTTTGTTTTCTATCATAGTTTAATGTTATTAATCATTATTTTCTCTTTCATGAAAATTACATTTATTTGGGGGGTTTAATTTTTTTTAAAGTAATATTTGGGACTCTGGACCTTAATCCAAGTTTCATAATATACTCAAATGATTTATAGTCAATTATATTTATAATTTACAGTTTCTACAGAAACATAAAAATCCATATTGGGTGGCATCTATGGTAGTTATCTATATAATTTTCTAAATTCCTGTACTCTAATACAGTACCTGTGCAGGTAACTTGCGTTTGATTAAAGCGTTTTTGGAATAACGCGATTGTTCAATTAATACTTGAAGGTAATTTATGCTCACCTATTTTTTAATTAATGCGATCAAGACATTTTAAATTTGCCGCTGGTATTCGCCTAGTCACCTGGCAGTGGAGTTGCGTGTGATGCCTGGTGAGGTGCTTGTAAGTTATTACTATAAAGTCAGTCATATCAACATCAATGATTTTAATATTTTTAATAATAATAATTATTGTAATAATGTAATAATGAAGATTATTACTACTAATGATGAAGATAATGATGATAATGAAGTATTCTGTACAACAGCTGTGACGACGTCCAGCAAGTTTCCCGTGTATCGCTTCCTCAATTCACACAAGCACTACATTTTTCTCTGTGCTTTCATTTGCTTTATGTGTTTATCACGTACCTTTTTAGTGTTAAACGCTGTTTTCCCCATTGAGCATGTCTGGAAAATGTCCATCTGCTTCCTCTGGGGTGCCTAAAGCTAAAAAGGCACGAAAAATAATCGCAATGGATGTGAAATTAAATGTGATCACCCGTCTTCAGAGAGTAAAGCGTGTGTTGGAGGTTGGCCGCGTGCTTGGTTTAAGTGAGAGCACTGTTCATACCCTGTACGGTATATGATGGTTACCCTAACCTGTACCATTTACATGTATTCTTATGGGAAAATTATATCTAATTTACGCGTTTTTGAATTAAGCGGTGATTTTCAAGAACGAAACCCCCGCGTAAAACGAGAGGTGGGTATACATTGAAATTTCTTTATCACATACTTTTACCATTACAACTAATCCTCACTTCCTTTATTTAGTCAGAAACTTCTTACTATAGTGAAAGTACAGTACCTGTACTTAACAACAGCCAGAGCAGAGTGAGGTCAGGTATCCCTCTGCAATCTGTTCAACTTTCATCCAACTACACAACCCCTTTATGGCCAAAACCTGATACAAAATCCATCATTGTAAAGAGAATTTTTCTACTGCCTCTAGCAATTTACCTCTCACGCCATAAACACTATAAACCTTTTTACAGTTCCTCTTCTTAATACAGTTGTGTTATACAGTACCTACAAACATTTTTATACCCATTTCCAACATATCTTAAAACAGGCAAAAGGTATGAACAAAGTCTCTACCATATTACCCCATAGTGTCATCCCTTTGATCCTGTAATACACTTCTTACCTTGTACTTGCTCGGGAAAAGTCGACCACAAACTTTACATGGATAGCGTTTGGGGTCACGTATTCCCATGTGTACACCACGAACATGGCGGTAGAGATCACTGCGCATAATGAATGTTCGTCCACAGTCATCACATGCATACTGAAGTGTGTTATGCATCTTGCGCATATGGTACCTATAAACAAAACGTGGAACAATGTACATTAATGCTCATCATTTTGCATTTATTAGAGCTAGATATGTTTTATTACAATCCAAAATTAACTAATATTTCCTCAGCAACAGCCTTCCTCAGAGAAACGTTTTGAGGCATTGTACAAGATGCCTGGACAATTTAAGAAACAGAGCATCATCTTCCACACAGCACTATGAAAACTATTTCTCACTTGACAAAGTGTTGATTGTTTTCAAGACTGTGATTGCGGAATCTACGATTGGGAAACTTTACTCCAGAAAACCTACAATGGTAACAACGGAAGAACAAAGTCATATAAATGAACAAATAAATGTCCCATTATCATTATAACCTCTACAGTATAAGAACTAAACAATATTTACAAAAGTACTTGTTCATGATAAAATACTCACTTGTAAATTCCTAGTGATAGGAAAAGCAAGTTACACCTTGAAATAGATTCGAGTAAATGAGGAGGATCTGTATTACAAATTAAGGATCATCATTAACAAAAGTATTAAGGAAACATTAGAAATCTTTACAAATATATACAGTATTACCCCGCTTAACGCGCTTTCACTTAACGCGTTTTCGCATATACGCGGTGCCTTGCCAAAGCTGAACTTTCACTTAACGCGGATTTTTCCACAGCAACGCGGTGAGTGTCCGGCTCGAGAGCTATTTTTAGATTCGCACCACCCCCACCGCCGCCCTGCCTGACTGCCTGTTTTAGCTCATAGAAATTCATACAGGTACAGCCAGAATATGGTTGTTGCTGGAATTCTTATAATTTAATTGGTCATTTTGAATATAAACAACATATTTTTGCATTAAGCATAATTTTTGAATAAATCAACGTCCAGTGTATATTATCTTTTAATCCCAGAAATATAGGCATTTTATGTTAAATATTCCTGAATCTTCTAGGAATCGTAGTAGTAATTATATTTTCCCTAACTTTGGTTTGAGGTTATCCACACATCTCCTTGGGGTTGGGTGGGGGGTGGGGAGGAGGGACAGGCCGACAAAACTCTGGCTGTGCTGTAGTGTGAGAGGGGAGGAGATTGAGTCCATTATTTGAATGGACATTAACTTGGCGACTGTATTTCTCTTAAGTATTAATTGTGTGCATGTACCATCATAAAATTAAGATGTTATTTTTACTACAACATAGTTATTTGTCGTCAAAAAGTGGAGTTTGGGGGTCGGGCTGGGTTCTATTGGAATTAATCCCATATGTTCTGTTATTCACTTAACGCGGTTTTCACTTAACGCGGGACCCTCTGGGTTCAATTGACCGCGTTAAGTGGGGTACCACTGTAGTCTCGGTTGCACATACCTGTACTTGAAACTGACATGGAATTGTTCACCACACAAGTTGCATTCATAATTATAAGTATTATTATGCATCTCATTTATGTGATGATTGCGCATGCCAGGAGTAGCAAACTTTTTTCCACAAGTCTCACATTCATATTTGCGTTCCCCGTGGATGTTTTTCATGTGGTTACGTAAACTTGATCGGTCAGAAAATTTTCCGCCGCATAACTCACATACAACCTGTAAGTACAAAAAAGTTAGGTAGACCATTTGAAATACAACAACTTCGGTGACACATTTTGTTCCCACCAAAAACTCGAAATTTGAAGGCATCAATCTTCATAACTTTGGTAAACAATCTCTACACACGTCCCTGCAGATCAAGTAAAATTATCTTTTTTAAACTCGTTCATGATCTCGCCACCATCATACACAAAGTTGATTGTAACCATACAATAGTTAAAGCTTCTACAGCCTAAGTACTAAGTGTCCCCCACAAGCAGTTGTGTGTGTAAGAACTATAGCTCAATGTTTATCAGTCATCATCAGTTTTTTTTTTTATATATATATAACTTTGAGGAAATTACAGTACAGCACTAAAGTTCACATTGTACGCTTTTTGGTGACTGATTTTTTTTTTTAAATACTGAACACTGCTTTGACTGTGTTATTGTGAACACAAGGTGAGCACGTCAACTGCTGGTAGTGGCGTGAGTGTGGTGGTGTCAGCTGTGTTATTGTTCAACTCGTATATTCAGGTAGAAATAGGTAATTATCTTTTTTTGTATAATAATAATAATAATAATAATAATAATAATAATAATAATACCCAGTAATGATTTTCATAAGGTCAAAAACATAAAGCGAATAAAAATTTCTTAAGTCCCTGGGAATAGTGGGAGAAGGAGGGGGTGCAGTGTAGGGGGATCTTGGTTCACTGTCTCGTGCATGACAAAATTGCTAAATGACAAAGTAGTACAGTAGTTTATTCTTTTCTTTTATCTAGGTATTATTATTATTTGTATTTATTCCTCACATTTACTGGTAGAGTATTAATATTTTATGTACAAAGAATAGCTTCTTCCCTACACAAACCATCCTCTGAGCATTGTGTTACACCATTCCAAAAATGTGACATCATATCTTTGAATATATTTATTTAATCAAACTTTTAGGTAATTATTCAGGTTTATTTTAGTAAAAAAAAATGGTGTTTCTAACTTATTTAAAACTGCTTTACAGACCCTGGGATCAACATATCTTGTTTTTTCTTAAAAAAATTGAGTCCCCATCATTATTATCATGTTTTTGTGACAGTAAAGTGTGCAGTGTAACTTTGAAAATGTCAGGGAAGGCCAATGCACCCAGGAAAATTGTGTCTTTGACAATGTGAAGTGGCATGAGACTCCACAGAGGCTGTGTGAGAGACAGATTGATGTCTCCACTCCACCTTAAGAGTCCCCTTAACCTCGAAGGGGACATGTGATGACAACCAGACTTGTTCATTATGATGTGGTGAGTGTTGTTTAATTGTTTTGTAGTGATAGTAGTATCCGACTGGCCGAGAACCTACCCCATTGACCCCTATGCTATAATACTGGTCTACAATTTTTGACCTGCGATAGGTTTTTCATGAACCTAACCCCCATCGCAGTTAGGGGAATACCTGTACAGTATTCATTTCTACTGGCTGCTGGGGACTAATTTCATAATAACTAGTATTTCATCCCCCCCCCCCCATCACAACTATTCCACCCTTAAATGGATGACTGATCCTGTTAACTCTCTTTTTGGAAAAGTCCATAACAAAAGCATTCTCATAATACTGTATAGGGTGATTTAGTGGGACATCTATTATCCTTAGAGAAGCCCCCAGTGTCAGCTAAATTTTTTTTAATCCATTTGAATATGTCAACGTTTCCTTCCCATCACAGTCTCCTCAAAGAGGGTTATTTATCATGGATGTACTCTACAGGAGGTATAGGCTAGGTGGTAATTTTTTAGCCAAGTCTGCCCAAATCAATACCATACATGCCAAGGTATACTGTTCAGTGTTCACCATCTTGATCTCTGGTCAATCTACTATTTTAAATTCTGTTTCAGTTGAGTTCAATAGATTTGTTTAAGTTATAATATGGGAATTGTGTTATATTGTACACAAAAGCAGAAGACTCTTGTTATAAATGTTTTTTTCCACTAATACAGGTGAGAAAAGGAGTTGGGTGGGTATGTATGTGTGAACTTTGGGACTGATGCAAGATTCGGTTAACTTAACTGATATCATTTATCATTCACAGACAAACACATAGTTAATATCTAAGTGAAGTTGCAGCGCATATTCAAGAAAATCAATACAGTACATAATTCTGGGTACCTCTAGCCCCATCAAAGATAAAAAAATCCTGTAAGCCTCAACATTGCCAATTACGTTGCCACTTACTCTCTTGATTCTGCATCAGATTATTAGAAACACATAATGTTGTGGAGTGACCCATGAAAAAAAAGGAAAGCCCATTATAAATTTGTCATGTGACCCACATCATAACAAATTAAACATTAATAAGGATTTATTGTACAGGGTGAAGCTGTCGCTGCATATTTTGACATTGGAATTCTCATGTAAATTTTACTCCTTAAATTTGATGCATCAGCTAATTTGGCCCATCCTTACCCCACACAAAGTGAAACTATTATCCCTTAATCTTGAAAATAAAAATTTATACTGTACTACTGAAAAATGACACAGTTCTAATTGTAGAATACATATCAAACATCAATCCCAAAATTCTATAAAGAGATTTTCTTTCCATAATTATCTTTCCTCAACTCAGTTATTCTCAAGGAAAAAGTTGTACACTTGATATTCCTCATGTTTATTTCTTATGTACTCATGAATCAGAAGACATAAATACTATGATCATCTTCACTTGTTTCCTTGTTGGTGGTACAGCGGTAATGCGCGTAACTCTCACCAATATGTCAAGGGTTTGAGCCTCGGCCCTGACACATGGGAGAAGAGTGTTATCCAGTGTGACCCTACAGAATATCACAGGTTTCCAGTCCCCAATTTCCTCCTGTACTACCACTGGATAGGCCACCCAAACAGCTAGTAAGGTGATAAGTGGCAAAAATTACATTAAAAAATATATACTGTATACAGGTATAAAGAATAAGGTAATAATGAGGAGAATTACTTTCCAAAGGCTTATTATCCCATAACTTATATTAATGTTATTATTGTAAAAATGCACTTTTATTGTTAGAAGAAGGAAAAAAACCCTACCACTTCAATCTGCCCAATACCATGTTCTCGAGCAAGGTGATTTTTCATGTTGTAACTTGACCCAAATGTGCGGCCACAAAAACTGCACAGCTGTTGATCAGCAGTTCCAATACTGTGGACATTCCTCTTGTGAGTTTCTACTCGACCACGTACTAGAAATCTGAGAGGAAAATAAATTATTTATTTTTAAACTCATTGTAAAATAAACAGAAATACTGTATGTAAATTTTATTTACAAAAAACAATCACAATACACAAGGTTACACAGAATACTGTACTGTATGTGTAATAATTATCTTCAATCTAAGTCACATATGAAAATTTCTTTAAATGTTTTGTTTAACTAATTTGTGGTGCCTCTACCTTAAACAAAATATTCTGAATACTATATTCTCATATATCTATATAGAAATTAACATACTATACAGTATTTCACAATACAATAGTGTAAACTAAATAAGTACTAAATATTAATTTGGTTCATAGAGATGCACATTAAGGAAAAGAACAACAGATGTGGTCCTACCTTCTACCACATATGTCACACTCATGAGCCCCATTAATCAAGGAACCTTCAATGCACGCTTTCTTATGAACAATCAGCAATTTCTTTTCTGCAAATACAGAGCCACAGTACTTGCAGGGGTACTCATTAGTCTTGATCCTGCACCCTGCACGTAACTGATGCTCCACAAACACATCAAGACCTCTCACAGTCTGCATAAAAAATTAAATCCTCTTAATAAACTTTCTACACAATGTCAACTGAAATTCTTTGGCAGGGACCATGCTGAACAGCAGAAGTAGGTACTGTATTCCATACATGATACAGTACAGTATCTGGGAAGTCATAAAATACTTTCATATCAGAAATACAATTTTGCATTTTATTTGCTATCCAATCAGGTCAGTCACTAAGATTGTCTTCTCTACACAGAGAACTCAATGTAACAAGTTAAATCTAAATCCTAGTTACTTGTTTATGATGTTTATACCATAAGAGTACACTATTGTCTTCTTATTTCTTATGATTTTAAGTTTATAAACATACAAAGTAAGGAAGTGATGAATTATTGAATATACAGTACAGTACGCCCAGATAATTTGTGGATTTTTATTTCGTGGTCCTCTATTATTCGCAGATGATACCCTGGATGTACCCAAGAATGTCTGCGGTAGTTTTAAAGTTGCCAGCATTTTCATGGCCGGGACAAGGAGTCATTCGTTCTAGAGACGGTAATTTCTTTTACCTGTATTGGATATGTGTGTGTGTGTGTCCACACACACACATACACATATACATACAATACAGGTTAAAGAAATAACTGTCCTAAGGGCAAACACATAAAGGAATACACCCTGTATACAATTCTTGGTACACAAGTAAAAATGTACCCCCTGGTCAGCTAATGTTATTCGCGGATTTGGCGATTTGCGGCCATTTTAAGAACCTAACCCCCGCGAATTTGAAGGGCATGCTGTACTGTACAGTACATATATTTAATTTGAAGTTATAAAGGACAATCATTGTATACAGTATATACCCTTTTTCATACATATTCTACTTTCTGGCACTGTTGATGATTAAAATAATTCAAATGTATAGGGTAAGACATATTTAACTGCTACAGTATTAAAATAACTAACCAGCAGTCTTTGGACCAATACAATATTTTAAACATCCATCCTTAAATGAAGAGGCTGGTAATCCTGCCGCTTCGTCTCAATAACTCCGCCACTCCCTACCCCAGCCGGTCACTATGTGCAGTCTCCTCAACCATCTCAAGTATTAATGCTATCTTATTGAAATATATTTTATATCTAAATATTCATTTTAGTTTCTAAAAATATGATTTAGGTATTCACTACAATTAATAGTTTTGAGATAATTTTCATTAGAAATCAGAAATGTTACTTACCATTGCAATTTTCAAGAACGAGTGTCCGACATGCTATGATTGGTAAAACAGTACAGTGTACTGTACAAATAAAATGAGGATACTCAGAACCATAGATAGTAAATCTGCTCTTGGTGAGGCATTAGTGCACCTAAAATGACAGCCAAATTTAAAATTATTAATTTTCAAATAAACATTTTAAAAAGCCCATACTGGTAACATACTTTCCTGTATGGAGAAGCTGACCCTAACAATGTACAGGTATTGTTTTGCCATCACAGTCAGAGTAAGCTTTTACCCAGTATCAAGCAATAGTACAGGAATACCAGATAGCTGAACTAGCTACTCATTAGTCTGGACCATGAAACAATAACTGATTTATATCAAGGGCCTTAATTAATGGTGAGTTGACAGAGGAACTTGCTTATAACATGAATCTTTTCACTTGTGTTGTATGCATACTAATCAGTACATTCCAGGTTGCCAAAGGGTAAGATACATAACAGAATTGTAAAAGATAATGAGATATTTGTAGTTGTTTGGTAGAACAGTTAATATAAGTACCGTATAGTACAGTATATGAATACGGTACTGTTATTGACAAAGAAAAAAAGTTGAAAGTGGTAAAAAAAATTTAACCGGATCACTTTTCCCTTAAATATTTCTTATCTTATATAAACAATAAACAACTGTTATTACTAACCTTTCCACAGTCACAGGTATATTCCTTTTTGTCACAATCTTGAAATTTTTCATGCTGGTTAGTCATATCTGTTTTTTCCTGTTTCACAATTCCTTCCTGATTTTCGGACTCATGGTCTTCAGGAAGTTCTTCATCTTCATCATCTTCAGCATCATTAACAGCTTCATTGCAGATATCTCGCTGTTCCTTAGATACTAGTATTACTCTCTTTTCAAGGAGTTTTGTACCATCTTTTCTGTGTTTTAATCTGCATAAATGAATACAAGATCAGATATGTCATTTTAATAACTAACAGAAACAATCCTCATGATTAAAAGGAATTTTTTAATATTAAAACAAAATTATTCAAAGACTTACAGTACAGTATTTAGAAAAGTCAAATATTTAAACATTAAATGTGGTCTGGCCTTGCTATCTATTTCTGCTTCCCTTTATCATGAGAGCAGTTTTGCCCTACAAACCCCAACATTTTACAAATCAATAATCACTACTACTAACACTGAAAATAAGAGATCATATTACTTCTCATGGATGTACTAAATACAACTTACTTTCTGTTTACTGTATATTGAATCAGCCACAATAAACACTTCAATTTTACCTGTATGAATTGCGGAGAGATTTTGCAATAGTCAAAAGCTGTTGTTCCATCTCGTCCCATCTGTTGACAGCATTCATACAGTCTTTGCAGAGACCAATGGTGTGTTGTGCGAGGGACACAAGGGTAGAATCTTGAGTGATTACCTCCAGTACCTGTATTATTTAGAGATCCCTGAATCTACAGTTATTTAAGTGGCGCAATATCTCTCATGCCCCAATCTCCTACACCATTTACTTCAAAATTCAATAGTCTCTCACTTTTTTTCTACCTCATCAATATTCTATTTTATAATACCGTTTCTAACAAAATTTATGTTCTCTCCTCCTTCCCCATGTAAATAAGCCTTCTTCCCCATATATACTGTATATTAGGATGAATAACAGTAGTGTACCAACATATGGATAAACAGCAACATTTATTTGTTAATGTTTCAAAAAATCTCTTATCATCAGACCTAAAACATAAAATTAAATACAATAGAATCGAAAAAATAAATATGACGAATATAATAAGATAAATAAATCACTAAGTACATTGAGAGAAAACAAAAAACATTGAACAGACAAACCATTGAGTTATTAAATATTAATCTTTATTTTAATTTAACCATACAAAGCAATATACAAGATAGGCTACATTCTGATGAACCTCATGGATTGTACTGTACCAGGTATTTAGGCTAATGTGCAGAGTTCCAAACGACAGTATAACATTAAAGTTTTTTTTTATCTACTAAAGCAATTATCATTTTCACTCGATATATTAATGTTGAGTAAACCTAGAAAATATTCAGTTAAGAAATACAGTAGAATAAAATTAAAAGAAAAGTGGAAACCTAAATTCAATAATATAACTGCAGAGGGACTAAAACAGAGTACAGTACAGTACATGCACCTCTGAACCTATCCATCTTTGAGAGAATCCATAAGGTTATTCCTTTAACAGTTCTCTATGTGAAGTGAGGATCACAGGCAGGTGTTCACCTGATCTCAGGGTACCATTTTGACAAAAACAGTCTAACTGATAAACCACCCCAAAGAAATGTTGCTTATACATATCATTTTCATGTGTTTGTTATATTTTTACACAGTAGTTTTCTTGTTTCCTTCCTGATTCTGTTTCTGTTAATTTTTAGATTAGTGTACAGGTACTGGATTAATGGAAACCTCATACCAGGTATATTATAACTGCATTGTTATTTGTTGTACTGATTTTGTTAGGTTAATAAAAATGATTTTCAATATTTTTATCTCGTTGTTATATATGTAACCCAAAACCACACGTGGAACATTACTAATTTAACAAAAATATAAACATATACCTTATAAATCTTGTGAAAGAGAGGTACCCAGTTACACAGCCTCTTTCTAATTATAAATACAGTCATTCACGGAACTTACCATTTGTGAATATTGTATACCATGCACAGACAGTACAGTATAAATCAGTGGCGTACCGTGGTTGCACTGATGAGGCATGCAGAACACCACATATCAGTTATCAAATCAAATACTGGGTATCAAGTAGGATATGGCCTTTCTCTAAATAAAGGTTGTCAAGCTTTCATAAACACCTACTGGGTAATTTCTTAAATTATATCAGTGGCATCTGACAAAGTATCTATTATAAATCATTAAATAATGGGTGCAAAAATACTTATGGCAAAAGAATATTAAGTTTTCAGTGTGATCTACAGTAATTTAGAAATAAAGTAGTAAAAAAAAATGACAAGGCATCATGCACAATGCTGGCTCTCTGTAAAGTTGCCAATGATCTTATTGCTGAACATTTAAATAATTAGTAAATATTTTTATTTATATGATCTGATTATTATTTCAAGTAAAACAGAAAATTTAATAACTTTCCCAAGTGAAAAACTATAACTGAAAGCGGACTGTAGGGTTATTTAGAAATATTGAAACTAATAATGTGGACCAGTTTTGTCCAGCTGACGGAGAGCCGCCGCCAGTCTACATAGCCTCTCGACAAGTGAATGCAGTTTTCGAATTGCATGCATTTGTACCCATTACAATAAATTACAAGCATTTTTTGGAGGGGGGAACAACCTTCACTGCATTATTGCAAAGAACTTTAACCAGGTCTCACTCTATCTTCTGACTGTGGCCTCATTAGTACATCCTGGAGACACTGTTTTTATTGGCTGTTTGTAAAGTAGGAAATGTTGATTTCAGTTACTAATTTTCATGCAAGATTTGTAGAAATAGAGTTGTACTGTACTGTACTTTTTTCTTTTATTGTACAGTAATTTTTATTTTATTTTAGTAATTTTTAAATCTTTAAGAGGTATTGATCAGAGTTGGTGATATGGTGGGAACTTAGTACAATATACTGTCAAGACAAATCTCCTTAACCTCCTGGGATGATGAGCAAAGCACTGACAAGCAATGAAAAAAAAATCAGTCTCCAGGGATGTCAATACATTTAATGTGAAAGGAAAAGAAATATTACCATTCCTTCCTCAGGGTTCTTGCCTGGGAAAGGGCATGTGGAGTATAGGCACATAATGAAGAATGTAATCCACTTTGGGGAAAACAGGATGAAGTGATAACTCTTACTGAAAAAAACCTAACCTGATAATTGCCACTTATCAGGACCTCTGAAGGGTTGTGCTTTGTTCAACAACAAAACATAGCAAAATACACTGTAGGAGATATGTGCATGCTCAATCAATCCTGAGACATGAACCACATCACACCCCAACCTCTAGTACAGTGTAGCAATATGCCTAAAAATACCATCTTAGGTCATGCACAGCTCCCCTTACAACCATACCAGTTGCATCCTACTTAGGCTTTTACTGTCTTTAAATACTGTACTTGCAAAACAAAATAGCCCAGCCCAATAGCCCCAATGCAAAATAATGTATATGGTCACAAACATAGTCAGCAAGTGAAAATATTCTTTCCTCAACAAGGTTACCAAATGAAGTGAAGTTGGTACTGTGCCCAGGGCTGCTCTATGATTAGTTCAGTCAAATGATTAATGCGTTGTATGATGGTTGAGTGGTTTCAAAACTTGTTACCCCCAAACTTCAGTGGTAGCTGTGACCTCTCAACTCTGTTAGAATAATGGTTCTCACAAGGGAGATGGCTAATCTTTGAATTTGCCACTATCTCCCTTAGTTTATGGTTTCCTGGGTCCAAATCTGGTAAGCATTATTACTGGGAAAGTGAAAGGAGGTAGAGTCATATTGTATTCTTGATCCACATTGCCCCTAATAGGTTATGGAAACCTTTCGCATACATATACAAGTCATTCCAAACTGGCATCATATTTTAATAACATTATCACAGATTTCTTCTGAACAGTCTCACCTCTATCAATGACCTCTTTGAATGGTAGAGCTTCTGGAGCCCCTTGATGAAAGATGCCTCTTCTGACTGGACACCTGACAGGTGACAACCACAGAGGAAGCATGATCCAAGTAGATAATACTCAGCTTGCTGATCTTTGCATTTTCTGAAGAAATAATGTCAGCTATATCAATTGGTTTTAAATCTGTATCATGACTATCAAATGATAATGTTCTGTCTATGATACACTGTATATATACAAGCAGATTTTTTTTTAACAATGTCGACTAAACTACCAATCCTTGACTGTAAAGTGTACAGGGGGCCCCCCAAATTCGCAAGGGTTAGGTTCTCAAAATGCCTGCGAATCGCCAAATCCGCGAATAACATTTGCTGACCAGGGGAGGGGGACATTTTTACTTGTGTACAAAGAAATGTGTATTCCCTTTATGTGTTTGCCCTTAGGACAATTATTTCTTTTACCTGTATTGTATACCTGTATATGTATGAGTGTGTGTAGACACATACACAAACACATACAAATAAATAATAATGGGAAAATACTCTCAAATAATAAAAAAAAATTATTAAAAATGTGAGTCTACCCTCAAGTCCGTGCTTTATTAATAAAGTAATAAAGCACGGACTTAAGGGTAGACTCACATTTTTTATAAATTTGTTTCTGATTATTTGTGAGAATATTTTCCCATTATTATTTATTTTTATGTGTTGTGTGTGTGTGTGTGTGTCTACACACACACACATATACAATACAGGTAAAATAAATTACTGTCTATCTCTAGAACGAATGGCTCCCTGTCCCAGCCAGAAAATGCTGGCAACTTTAAAATTACCCATAGACATTCTTGGGTACATCCAGTGTCATCTGTGAATAATAGAGGACCACAAAATAAAAATTCGCGAACTTGGGGGGTGTAGAAGGTATTTAAAAAAAATATAGATAATATAAAACTATATGTATTGTATACCGTATACATACTGTATTTAAGGTATGAAAATGTACCAATACCAAAAAATTCTAGATTTTAGATACAATTAATACCTAATACTGTACTGTACTGTATTGCATTAAAATTAAACCAATAATGGACAAAATATCACATGTATTACAGTATCAAGCATTATAATATTGGACTGTAAATAACCATACAAACCTCTGTTGTACAGATCTGCATTGATTAACATGTTCAGCTAGGTCTAAACGCCAAGAGAAGGAACGATGGCAGCCACTGCACTTAAAGCGACCTTTCCCATGAATGGCACCCATTGAAAAACCCTGAAAGAAATTATATTTCTGTATTGCATAAGCGCTGTTATTATTGGTAATGTATGACAACATCACTACCACCAGAAAAAGTTGACAACATTTACTAGAACCTACCTAACTTTACCTAATTTCCTAAGTCAGTGTATATTATCATCTGCTCTGTTTGTTTACAACCGACCCACTCGGTCCAAGCGTACCCTCACATTCACAAAAAAACATAACATTACACCAAGACGCTTCAACAAAGTTGTTTTCGTTGGGACCAGTCATCAAAATAAGTACTTTCTGTTTAATATAGCCGGGAGCTGCCCGGCTAAGAAGTTAGGTAAGGTTAAGTAGGTTTCTTTGGTTCGTTAGGTCAGGGTCTATGGTAAAATTATCATTACAGTCATGCACCAATTTGGAAGTCGTTCAAAACATATTAAAAAAAATCGGAAAACCATAATTTCAACCTAACCTAACCCAACGTAAACTAAACTTAAAATTCTAAAATTTGCTGCATGACCAAAACGATAATAATACCAGGTTTTATTAAGTTATGTGCAATGTCATATAATATTTATTACTATAACCAAAAAACAACAGTGGAAAAAATGAACAAAATCGAGCAACTCCTTCTGGTGGAAGTGCTGTTCTCAGACATTACCAAAATAAGAGCATCTGTGGAAAAAAAAATTAAGAAATCAAACAACTGCTTCTGGTGGTAGCAGTTTCTTCATTATTAATCATTGTAGATACTGTACAAATATCCAATACTGGAGGAAGAATACAATATCTACTTGGGGTTTACTCTAAATGGTGAGCTATTAGTTTAAATGATCCCTTTTGGGACTTTGTAACACAATACACTAGTATAATTTTTTTTTTTTTTTATTCACACAATAGTATAACTAATTCATTGATTCGTCCAAGTCTGTGGGTTAAACCTGGATTTATAACCGAGAACGGGGTCTGCCCATATCGTCACAGCGTTCATTCCCATAACTATATACACGAAAATAACTGTTGTTTGGGATAGATAATAATAAAAAAAACACCAAGACAATTTATTAAAGACATAAATTGAAAATAAAAACATTGTTAATACGCCTGCAATCATCTAGCTGCTCGGTGATTTATGCGTTGGTGCCAAATCACCTTCATTTGTTCTGTATTTTGTTTAATATCCAATGTTTTATTCGTTTTCTTTATTAAATAATTAATATTCATGTATAATACTAACACAATACTTCTTGGGTCGTCTGTATACATGTGTTTTTCTATTCGTGTAAAATAATAATTTGCAATTTGTCACTAATACCAGCGACAGTTAGTGGTTTCGAAATGGGGTTTTGGTGACGAAATGGGGTGTATCCTTCTCGGTAGTACTTCTCTTCCACAATTTATATTCACTCGTCTCGTTAGGCATTTAAATTAATTCATAAATCACTGAAGGAAACGAAAATATTTATTCCACACAAACCCATTAATATAGTTATCTTTTTAAACGTTTTCCTAGAGTAGTTTTTCTTGCTGAATACATTGGTGATAATTACAGTTTGGGGAAAGGCTTAATTAATGAGCTAGGACCTTTCTTACCAATGTGGACAGGGCTTGGAGGCAGAGGTTTATTTACCAATGTTGAATCGTGTTCTTTATTAAACAATATTCATGTATAATAATAACAATACTTCTTGAGTCGTCTGTATACATGTGTAATTTCTATTTGTGTAAAATAATAACTTACAATTTGTCACTAATACCAGCGATTGTTGGTTATGACGAAACGAAATTGATATTGGTGATGAGTTGGGGTTTTGGTGACGAAATGGGGTGTATCCTCATGACCCCTCATGCTAGGTACTGAACCATATTACCTTTAATTCTTCTCACAGGACCCTGTTGTAAACTATCACTCAAACTATTACCATTGTCTTTTTAACAGAATTTTTGTTTTTTCTCTTTCTCCTTATATAAGAAGATTAATGTATTATTAGGTGTTGCACTCACGGTAAAATAGTTAGTAGAAACTTACTCGGTCACGGCAAAATATCCACTGCCTATAACAAAACCTTTATAAATCTAGAAAAAGTAAGGTGATATTTACCTTCAAAATCACTTAAACCACAAATTTTTTACTTGTATATATTGAAGACGACTTCTTCCTTACGTGGATAAAACTGAAAGGCAGACTACATGCACAAGAATTGCAAATGATGGCTTGACATAGTTTACATTAATAAAGTTAAGTAAATCAATGATGGCTTGATATAGTTTACATTAATAAAGTTAAGTTTATCATATACATAAACCACAACATACAGTACGTGGTCACCGTCAGAGGGTAAACAAACTAACCAGATGTTCTACGAGTCTAATATATTTTTTCTCAATTTAAATTTTATATCTGTAAGATTAAAAGACCACTGATGGTAATTATTCATATTTATGTGCAACTTATAAATCTGAATTTTTTATGTATAAACCAATTGAAAAAATGTTGTAAATAAACTGTAAATATCATGGCAAGGTAAAACACAATGAGCTTGTTGTCCCCAGGTAAACAATAACACGTGGTTGGGAAGCTGTGTTTATATGTCAAGCAGAACCAAAAGAAGTCTCCTGCCCTTTTATCCGTGTACAATCTGAGGTCCTGATCTAGTTCACTCAAAAGGTAAGTTTCAAGAATATTTAACAACATAGGCGCCATTTATTTTACTTTTTTGGTTGAGGAAAGGAAGCAAGTGACAGTTTAAGCCACCACCATTGCTTCTAATGAGTATCCTTCAGGGGTCCAGTTTGTGCTCAGGTAATACTTTCCCTCAGTGACGTATATAAGTTTCTGGAAATGGGGGTGGGGGGGGGGAGGGGCAAGACTTGAAGATGTAGACATTATTTCTTTTCCATCCAGTGGTGTAATCAGGGTGGTTGGTAGGCTGGGGTCCCCCTCTCGAGAAAATTTTGAAAGTTGACCAATTTGAACAATTTCAGGGACATTTTGAGGTCATCTACAATGAATAATAGGAAATATTGGTAAAGGTGTAGAAGAGGGTGACCACCAGAAGGAATTGTCCGAATTGGTTGAAATTTTTTCTACACTGATATCATGATAATAAACACAAAAATAGAAGTGACAATGCATATACTGTATACTGAACTGTCTTGTACATAATTCAGAAAGGCTATACAGTATATAGGACCATTTTTTCAGGTAATCACGTTAGATTTCATGTAATTTCGGAACAAACCTTTTTTTTCATCATATTCATATGCAATATCATGTTTTAAAGTTGGTTTAAAGTATACTGTGAGTTAGCATAAATTAGAGCAGGAAAATGCTTTGTTGGTTCAATTTCAGATGTTCTCAGTTACCACCATGATAATTTAATGTATTACTGTATACAGTACTGGTATGTTAATATACACTGTATGAATGTGCCTTTTTGTCTCCCACAGATATGAGCAGTGAGGATATTTTTGATTTCGTTGATGCCTTGGAACAGCAGACATATGCTGCAGGTGAAGCAGAAGGAGTAGAGGATGGAAAACAGAAACACCATCTTGTAGGATTCACAATGGGATGGCAGCAGGCTTGTCACATTCTGCAGGAATTAGGCCTTATAGAAGGTAATATTTTTTTAACTCTAAATCTTTTCCTGCTATGCTGTAGAGGAACCAGAGTCAAGACCAAAGACAGACTATCCTTGCTTTCATTTTCATCCATTCACTCTTAACTGCTGTGATATCCTTTTAAACCAATTAATGCCATATTCTCCCATCATTCACAGCTCTCCAAGCCCCAAAATGTTTTCCAAGTTCCTGCCACAGCTGTACACTCCTTGGAATCAAATCTGCTCAAAGTGCATCAAATATCATGCAACAGACAGTTAACAATGTTTGTACATAATTTTCAGTCACCTGCCATATACAAGATGACTCATACTTTATTATTGTCACTTGTGGGAGTCCACTCAATGGGATCATAACCCTGCTACTGTATGTGAAAATTGCCAAACGACCCAATTAGTCACACTGAATGATTCAGTCTGATATCACCACACTACCAGATCTTCTTAAACCCTCCACCACGGGGGTGCCACTTTTATTATTTTATTTGGCTAATGCCACATGATTTTATTCAGCTCAGAGGGGACCTCATACACAAGGGGTTAGTAGCCTATCTCCATAAAGCCCTCCAGTATGGGGATGCCACTTTTAATATTTTATTTGTTTAACACTAGACTTACTTTATTTGGCTCAGAGGGAAGCCTATACACTAGGGATTATGGGTTCCAGTAAATTTGTTTACTGTATATGCAACACAGACAAATATATCACTGAAAGAAAATATTACATGCACACCCATTAAATCCTGAAGTGGAAGCTTCAGTGGTACTGCTGAACATGAGGAAGGAAGTTAGATTCAATGAAAGTTGCTGTAATTCTGTTTCAACACATGCCGGAGAATATCTTCCTAATCCCAGGCCTGACTGTGGGTGGCCCAGCAATATCAGACTATCAAATAGTCTTTACTAGACTATTCACTGTGAAACCAATTGATGCCTGTGAAATTGTGGTTTCCCCATCAGCTCTTGGGTTGTACCCAAATTTAAACATAAATAATCATAATAAATGGTTTGACAAAATATGAGTAATTAAGCTTAAGCAAAAGTCTAACATTGATAAGTGTGTTGCTCAACAAGAACACCTTAGGTACTGCCAAATGATTAATGGCAGTGAGTGAATAGTGGGACCATCTGTTCAGTGAGAGGTGTGACAAGGAGTGAATGGGGATTGATTACTGGAAGAACATAATCGGCCATTTTTTTAAACACTCGGGGCAGCAAGCCCGAAGAGCAATCCCGAATGTCTGGTTACTGTCTAGTAATCCGTCAAATGGATTCGTCAAGCTCGAATATAAATCCCGAACATTGGTTTACTATTTAGTAACACGAACGCCGCAACTCGAGAGGGTTGGTACGCCTTATCCAAGATAAATGTAAATGTAAACATGAGTTGTGGAGATAAAAGTTCGTCTTCAAGGGAGAAGGCAGACACCACCACCAATTATGCCAGCGTCTGCACCAGCAGGAACACTTGGATCAACTGATCCAACATCAGTACCACCCGTGCCACCACCAGCAACAGCAGCATCAACATCCAGTCACTGGTGGAAGAAAAGGAAGCAGGTGAACAAGAGGAATGAATGCTTCAGTGCCATTATTAAAGACAGTACACAAGAACTGAATGGTGCTATATTGGAGGCCTTAAAGGCCTTCACTAGTACAGTATGTACAATACTTTATCAACCCAATCTGTGCGTAATGTATTTAGGACAAGCATTCGAGTTGTTGAGCAGTGGCATATGTCAAGAGTGCAGCCATACTTCCACCTTTGGCTGTGGGCAATCTAGGGTAACATTGCTTATCTTGATTATGGTAAAGAACAGGGTCCCTGTGATGATATATATTACTGTGTTACATTTTAAGTTCTTCAGAGAATCGCCCTCTATAAAGTGCAACATACAGGTGATATCCCCGTTATCCAGAATAATTGGTGCAGAGCTCTTCCTGGGACGAAAGACTTCCAGATATCATGACTCTCAAACCATGAAAAATCCCACTTCCCTAGAATTTTTCCGGTTACATGTAAAAGTTGCCGAGTTTAAATGTTCTTTCATCCTCGGAGGCCGAAAAAACTTGGAGAGTTTCAGGAAGTTTTCATAAAAATTAACCCAATTTTCAACCTTGAAAACTCGTTCACTTACCCGGAATGTTGAAAATTTTCCCGGAAAAACTCCGAGCCAATTTCAATTCTGAGTACATATTGGCGAATTCTGTGTAATGAAGATATTACTGCTCTGTAATTATGGCCTGGTGGTATTATTGTACATGGGAGGTAGGTTTAGGGGTTTTCATGGGTGCTGAGTACTGTATAGTGGTGATGTCACCCCCCCCCCCCTCCCTCCCTCTTTTTTGCATCATTGCATAACATTGAATAAATACCCTATACATTTCTAAACAAAGACCAAAATCCAAGATTTTGAGTTTTGGTCTACAAAGATATATTTAGTCTAACCTAACCTGACCTAATCTAACCTAAGATAACTTAACCCAATTATCTTGTAGACCGCACACTATAGTAACACCAGAATTTCTTGCTTCATCCATCTTGAACTCTTGGCATGTGTGGTTCAACTCGTTCAAGAAGTTCATGGATGCATTCCTTGGACAGCCTATACCTCTTGATGAACTCCTCCTCAGAGAGATAAGCAAAAGGATTTTGATGGTCTCTAATAACAATCCTTGGAAGCCTCACAGCACCAGCTAGCTCAGCATACCAGAATGCTATAATGCCCGCCTGAAAAAAAAACGAAGTGTAATATCTATTATCTATATATTGCGGTAACTATTGTATACCGTATTAGGTAAATTACTTTTGATAACAGTTTATAAGCTTGTTGCATAGCTATTACAGAGAATTTCCTTAAGAAATTTGTCCATAGTATATTTAACTTTTGTTTATTGTTGTTCCACTTTTTTCCTAACCCTGAGTTCGAACATTTCATCGAAAAAATATTTTATGTAACCTAATCTAAACTTACAAACATAGGTAGTACCTAAACACAACCGGAACAACAGCAGCCCAAACAGTGAAATATAGCAGGAGAAATTTTTTCCAGGGTAATTCTCAGCGTGGGTGACAGGTGACACTTGTTGTAAACTATTACTTCGGCAACCTACCTAGTACATTTGGCTCATCTTATATCTTTCCTTTATAATATATTGGCAAATTGGAAATGGCATTATATCTATCTCACAAACAAAAGTGCATTACTTAACACTTGAAGCTATAAGAAGATGATTGTAGGAATGCAATACTTGATAAAATAAGAGAAGGGCGATGAGGAGACGAAAAATCTTTGGAGTTGAAGGTAAAACATCACGGGGGTACACGTCGGTCTCTTAAAAATATATACATTTCCGTCGGAACCGGCTATTAGGACATTTAAATATTTGGGTTTTTTTATTATCTCATCTTAATTTACATAAATTGTATTTCAGAGACTTTTTCTATTCATATATAACAAGTTTGAACATTCGGGATAAGTCTTTCGGGTGCCTACCCACACCCGAGGACTTATCCCGAACTTTCCAATAATATTGTCGGACTACTAAATTGTAAACCGACAAAATTTGGTTTAAAAAATTTATTACGTTTCAGAGGGCGCTTTCGGGCTACTAATAAGTAACCTGAATGTTTAAAATAAGTGGCTGAAAGACTGACTCAAGAGATAGGCAGAGTGTGCTTATGTCATTTTTAGTTCCCTCTACCCATGGGCGAAAAACGTTTGCTATAGTTGCAGTATAAAAGGTTATCCTTAAAATTAGTCCCAACCACTAATATCAGGTTTCCTGGGTCTAGATTAATGGCTTTGTGTGTGCATTATACCTTAGGTATCTAGTGAAGGGCAACCCAACTTCAATATAGTACTGTACAATTAATGTAATGTCATGCTAATCTTTCATTTCTAGAATAAATAAGGCTTAAAATTTTTGTTTCACCAATCAGGTCTCCTGGGCAGTGTGTTACTCAACTGTGAATCAGAACTTGACCCTCGTCTTCAAAATCAAATTGTCAAACTTCTCGCTACCATCAGGGATTGGCCAAAATGGGATCCATCTGATGAAGATAAAATAGAAACAAAACTTGCTGCAATTCACACCAAAAGTCGATATATTCTGCAGCGACTGAATATCCCATCAAAAGTTATTGATAGAAGTGTTGATGGCGATTTTTAGTGTAAATTCTGGTCCAATAGTCTTTTCATGATTATGTCTTTCTTATTTAATTGTCATCTTATTCAATTAATTCTTTAATTCCATATGCCTTGGTTAAATTGTCTACTGTGTTTCTTTGTATCTGTTATCTTTTCTCCATTTCCACTTGCTTAGTTTGGATAAATTTAAAACAGAAACTGAAAGAAAGGGAGGAAATGGTTAGGGAGACTGCTGTAAATTTTTTTTAGAAAAAACCTTAAGATATCATTCTTTTGGCAATATCTGACATAATACCTTCACTACAGTAATTCACTTATATAGTGTGTCCATATCTTTCTTGATCTACCTACTTGTATCCTTCTTATACAGTACAGTACTTCCAACTAAACTGTCATTAATATTCCATCCCATTGTCTCCCTTACACACTGTACTCTGCATACAAGGTTTGATACAGTACTTTATAACATGATTATTATATTGATAGTATCTTTATGAATTGAAGACCATAAATGCATGATTCAGCTGAGGTTAAATGAAAATATAGGAGCGTTAATATATCAGCTTATTATAAAACACCCATAACTGTGTGATATTTTAACAGAATTAAGATGTCTTTTCATAAAAATTACTGGAAATGAACCAAGTCAAAGGAAGAGGTGGTGGAGTGGTACTCATGTCATCGCCTAAAAGTAACTATGCAGAACTCTGTACCTATAATGCTGGTGTCTGGAACTTTACTTCTCCAAATATATTTTGCACAAATCAAAATACTGGTATTCATCATTTGTTTTATTAGCACCTGGGAGTATCATGTTATTCGGAGCACCTGGGAGTATCATGTCATTCATAGCACCTGTGAGTAACATGATGTCATTCAGAGCACCTGGGAGTAACGTAATGTATTGATGTCATTTAGAGTACCTGTAACATGTTGTCATAGAGCACCTTGGAGTAATTTGTATTCCTGCTTATCATGATACTCTGCCACAACACAGAATCTAAATTCCAAACTACAAATTATTCGAAACAATATGTTGAGGTTTATTTTTGACATGAAAGCAAGAGACCACATTGGTCACAAAGTCTTACAATCACTAAACATGTTAAGGTAATGTACCAAATTTAGATTTCATTACTAAATGTGCTAGGTGCTAAATTACATTAATTAGGTACTAAATTAAAGTGCAGTATTTAGGTACTATTTTATAGTAGTTAAGTAGTTATCTTGTTGTGAACCGCAATGTTGCTTCACTCTCTCTCTTTTATAGGTACTTTAACGGGCAATGTTTGGTGGATTTGGCATCCTGTGTTCCGCCAACAAGGCCGTGGGCTCATAACACTCATCTTGCCAGCAGTGCACACCGTTTCTCTGTGGCTATCGGTCTCACTAGAATAACGCGTTATAGTATATCCTTCTTTCCTCACACAGCCAAACTGTGGAATGCTCTGTCTTCTTCTGTGTTTCCATACTCATACAATCTGTCTCACTTTAAAAAAAGCTGGTTGTCCGACATCTTCGTGGTGTAGAATAATATAATCGTTTCCTTTGGTTTTTAATTTCTTTTTACTCTTATTTTTTCGTGCCTAGGTAGGTTATTCCCCGTAAAAAAAAAAAATACCTAACCTAATAAAATGAATATATATTTTTTAAAAATCTTCTCTTCAAAAGTATACTATATTTATTTTTTTGGAATCAGTAGGAAAACACACACACACATATATATATATATATATATATATATATATATATATATATATATATATATATATATATATATATATATATATGTATATATAAGAAAATTTTGATAAATCATAATATATATATATATATATATATATATATATATATATATATATATATATATATATATATATATATATATATATATATATATATACAGTATATATATATATTTATTTATTTATTTATTTATTTATTTTTATTTATTTTATTTTTTTATTTTTTTCGGGGGGGGAGGACATGGTACATGAAATCGAAAACGCCCAAATAATGTAAAGCTGCAGCTTCTACCATCGCTCTTACTGAAGAACCGAAGGGAGAATATTCCCTTATGTAAGCAAATATAGGTACTTATATCTGCAAAATAATCAATCTGTTGCTTTGATATATTATCCCTAGATATTTAAAGTTGAATGTCAATAACCTACTGACTACATATAAATTGTTTTTGTGTAATATTCTTGTGTTAGCGCACAATATAAAGTAAGGCACAATGAGCTACTCCCCAGCCGCTTGGTGTCGCCACCATTGCGGAGGATCACAAATTTAACATTGAAGGGTAATCCTTCTACAGTTTTATAATCCTTGGGATAAATAAAAATTGTTGTTGTTAGGTTGCAATCTATGGATCAATCTCTTAGAGGCTGCTTCTATTGATGAATTGAAAGCATTACAGTAAAAAAGACTGGGAAATCATTTACAGATAAAGACACTCTTACAATAACGTAGTTCCGATAGGAGTCGACTTATTATAGCAGCTTAATTAATCCATTTTCCATAAAGCGACGTCAGACAATAACAATAGCATATTTTTGTCAGTGACTAATCTTGCTATCATATATCTAAATTTTAAATATTCAAGTAAATATATCATTTGGAATGAAAAAAAATTATTTATACCAAACAAAAATATAGCACGATATATGAATTTTGATTTATAAATGTTCGCGACAAGATGTTTTGTGAAGTGATTAATAGAGTATCTGGCATCGTCACTGTGGGATGAATGTGCCTCTATGGCGGAGGAATATCCCATATGTTGGTAGCTATCATTTCGTTGAACATAAAATAAACTTACATGAAGAAATATAAGATTCATTCTTATCAACGTTTTAAATGCAATTGCAACAGGGTAAATTATCAAAGAAAACATGAATTACTTGAATTGTCGGGTTATAGGGAACTAGTTTTTGAGCGTACAACCGGTGTCCCGAGTCTCCGTGAAGCATCAACCAGTCAGTGTTCAGTTGTGACTCTCAGAGTGAGGTTGTGTTTATCGTGTGTCTCAACAGTTTTTTCACTTAACATAATGTTTGAAGATACATGAAACACGTGTGATTAGTTTTTTCTAACCCATGAAGTAAGCTCTTTGTGCTGGTAAACATACCTTACTAGTGCTAATCGAATAGTGCCTAAAAATGGGTGGAAGAAGGAGAAATCCAGCGTTGGAGTTGACATTGGCGGCGGTGGTAACCCTCGGCGTTTGTTTGGGTCCTGGAGCTTCAGCTGACAAAGGTAAAGGTTTATAATCCTAACACTCCCGCCACTGTTGCAGACAGCAGCGATGGGCAGTAAAAGATGAATAATATAATTATATAACAAAGGGTGAAGTAAATTGGATATCTGGCTATGAGTAGTTCTCAGATTTTTCTTAACATTGATTTTTCTAAGGTCCCGCCACATGGCTCAAACGAAGAGGGGTGAATTGTCGCCCGTCTTAACAGTAGGGTGTCGTAAAGTCACAGGAACGTTAATAATTTCCTCAGGATGTGCTGGTGGTGGATGTCACAAGTGGTCAGTGGCTAGTTGTGGTAGTGCTTTACTATGGATTAGGAACTCGTCAACTCGTTGCACTGTCTTATTATGGTCGATCTCAAGGCATGAACCTTACATGTCGTTAGTTTTCAATAGACCTACTCAATGTGACACCACCTCTGCCTGCAGCAGCCTCCCCCAGAAAAAAAATACCATCAAGATTTGCTGAAGTGAATTTTGGTTAAACGGACGCAAGGGGTATTTAAATTATTGTTTACGCCTTTACGGTATGTAAATTGTGTCTAAAGGATGTAGGATAACTACAGGTATTATTATTGTTATTGTTCCGTTTAAATAATTTACAGAAGCTATGCCTCTAGCAATGCAGAACTATAGTAGGAGCCCATGGTGTGTACAATTTAATATTAGTTTATTATGTTCATCTTTAAAATTGGTCAGCTGCTAATTTTCCTCTGGTTGAGTTTTGATTATTTAGCAGCTTTCTAACGACAGGCTCAGTCGTCGATTTTTTTTCAGATTTCCCATTGTCTTGTAGGTAAGTTAACACCCAGTTTATGACATGCTTATGTCATGCCAAACTTAATTATATTTTCAGCGTCAGTCGAAAGGTAAAGATGGACCACATTTTTTTTCATTAGAAATATTTAAATATAGTCAGATTAATGTACCATAGGAAAAAGTTCACCCATAGAATTTTAGGCCCTAGATGTGGTAAGAATTGGTTTGATGTATAATATATCCATTGAGTTGTCTAATAAATTAACACATTCTTGTTTAAATCTCGGGTACATTTAAGGGTGTATGGGTGAGGTCTCGTACACTGAAAATTCCTGTTCCCTAAAATGGTTCATCTTATGATTGGCTCTTGTTTTCTAATACGCTAGCATAAATTCCAAAGGTTTAGTTGAGCGGGCCCCGTCGAGGTGAACCCCTCCACCCAGTCAACAGTGTAAATACCGGATAAACCAGACCGAGTACAATCCCCCCTCCCCCCTCCCTTGATGTGTCTACGGTAGGAAAGTGAGAGGACCATTTTTCTATGGGGAAAAGTGAGAGGTGTGTATTCCAGGTGAATTATTGAATCTGTTTCGGAAAGAAAGTAAGATACTTATGTAGAATTAAGTAATTTGTCAAAGAATTTATAGGCTTATAAGACAAAGTGGAGTTTCTACACTGTAAAGGGGGAACTGAGAGGTCGATTCACTAATGAAAGGGAAAGTTGAGGTTACCTGAAAGCGTTACATGTAACCTTACATTTTCCATTTCATTATTAGATCGACCCAAGGGAATCAGTAAAGTTACTATGTATGCAATCTTAGGACATGTATTGATGTGTGCGTGTGGTGTAATTATCCCCGGGCAAGGTGAAACTATGGGCAAGTTTCTTTACGCCATTTGCCTCTGTCTACCCAGCAGTACAGTAATTGGGAACCTGGATGTTAATCGATTTGTGGATCGTGTTCCGGGGTAATGGTTAGCCAGTGCAGTAGACCAGTTGTCCGGTCTTCTCGGACTATTCCTTAACACTGGGTCATGCAACTTGTTAACTCAGGGTGTGGTTGCTGTGTTGTCGACAGCTTCTACATCTTAAACAAATTTTCCAATAAACCCTTGCGGATTCCATAATATGGTTCCGCGGGTGCCCTGGTGCCTGCAAATTACAGGTTAGATACTACTACCTGACAGCTATAAGCATCTGGGAGTATACAGGTGGTGAGCGCTCCCTGGCTCGTCTGCAACACCCTGCGACGGCCGAGTACAGGTACTGGGGAAAACCATTATCATTTTGTTCTGTCTACAGGCACTAATGATTCTTAAATGAACTGGATGTTTAGCGGAAAAAATATCCTGTCTTTTACACATTTATATTTATTATACCTTACTTTTCATGGTATTTCAATTTATACGGTATATTATGTATTCCTAAGTTCACTAGTAAATATTTGTTTTGTAAATGAAGGAAGGACTTACGAGAATGGCATTCACTCTTAATTTTACTAAATGTCTAAAGAGTGCATTTTTACTTCGTCACTTTTCTAATGAAACTTAAGACTTTTGTAACTACCCTAAGTTCGTTGTCGTTCCCTTAAATTTTTATGTTGAGCTCAGGAGGTGTGGGGAGACCTGCTCGCGTCGCTCTTGTTCCACGCTGTCCACACGGTTCACGGGCACTGTGGTTACACGCTATTTGAGTGATAGGCCCGTTGCGCTTTTCTCAATTCTTATGAACTTATTCTTTGAATAAATTTACAACTTGAGT